ACTCGGGCGGGCGGTTGTTGCGGCAGCTGCTGTTGATGGCCAGGCCCTGGTTCTCCTCCTGCCCGGGGATGCGGAAAGGTGAGGGATGTGGGACAGGAGCAGCATGGGGACCACCCCACCAGCCCCGTGTTCCCCTGCGGAGGGGACAGGAGCGACCCCTCGCCCCAGGGAAGAAGACTCACGTAGAAGTTGAAAAGCTCCTGTGCATCCTCTGCCATGTGCCTCACCAGCGCCTGGATCTGCTGCAGGGTGGGGGGCTGCAGGGGCCGCCCCCCCTGGCCCGGCACCGCCCAGAGGATGAAGAGCCCTTTGGTGACAGCTGGGGAGGAAGAGGAGGGAGATGGGGGACACTGGGGCATGGCTGGGTGCAGGGAGGCAGCCCCCTCTCCGCGCCGGAAAAGCTCAAGATCAACGGTCCCCCCACCACAGAGACAGCTCTGCCCCGCGCGCCCATCACCCCGGCGTCAGGCCTGGAGGAGAGACCGGTGTGTGTCGGGGACGTGCATCCCCTGCGCCGAAGTCCCCGGTCCTGCCGCAGGGACGAGCCAGCCCCTGTGCCGAAAGCCTGCGGAGGACCGGATGGGGAGGATGATGAGGACGAGGATGAAGACGATGCCATCCAGCAGCCAGGGAGCGCAGCCCAGCTGCAGCGGTTGCCCCAGCAGCTCCCCCTGTCAGTGTGGGCCACCACGAAGGAGGGGACAGCGGTGACATTCCCGGATCTGGCCCCTAGGCTTCGGGCTGGATGTTATCCCAGCCCTGCTGTCACCCACGGCGGTGACTGCGGATGCGGCGCTGGACCAGTATACAGCATCCATTCCCGCTGCGCTGGGCGGGGTTGAAGGGCTTTGGGCAGGGTGCAGGGTCTGTGCCAGCAAGCTGACCCCTGACCCTCTGCCATCGGTCCCCAAACTGACCCCAAAACCTCTTCCCTCCTGCCCTCCCCCTCCCAGCATCTCTTCTCCCCCAGGGAAAAAGGGAACCCCCATGGGGGTGTCCATCCCCGGCGCTCCCCATCCCGTGTGCCATGGGGGAAAAATGTCCCCGTCCCCCTCTGGTGCCCTTGGGTGGTGACA